GTTACAGCTACTTCTCCTTCTCCTAATAGTGCATGGTTACAGCTACTCCTCCTCCTAATAGTGCATGGTTACAGCTACTCCTCCTTCTCCTAATAGTGCCTACTCCCCCTAATAGTGCATGGTTACAGCTACTCCTCCCTCTCCTAATAGTGCATGGTTACAGCTACTCCTCCTCCTCCTAATAGTGCATGGTTACAGCTACTCACCTATCTAATAGTGCATGGTTACAAGTACTCCTCCCTCTAATAGTACATGGTTACAAGTACTCCCCCCTAATAGTGCATGGTTACAAGTACTCCTCCCTCTAATAGTGCATGGTTACAAGTACTCCCCCCACCCGTAATAGTGCATGGTTACAAGTACTCCTCCCTCTAATAGTGCATGGTTTCAAGTACTCCCCCCACCCCTAATAGTGCATGGTTACAAGTACTCCCCCCACCCCTAATTGTGCATGGTTACAAGTACTCCTCCCTCTAATAGTCCATGGTTACAAGTACTCACCTACCTAATAGTGCATGGTTACAAGTACACCTCCCTCTAATAGTGCATGGTTACAAGAACTCCCCACCCCTAATAGTGCATGGTTACAAGTACTCCCCCCGTAATACAGAATCGTTATAGCTACCTATATTACTTGTAAATTAGACATCACTCTATTGTAGCAGTTGTGCACATGTGGCGAGGTCTATGTAGTATATTTGAACTTTGATTAGCAAATACTGTACAAAATAGAAAACTATTTGCAATTTAATTCAATTTGGATTTAAAAATTTCTGATATCGTCAAATACCGACCGCTCTATAGCTCTACATCTGCTTCGATTGCCTGGTCAGTGGTAACTGAGCGGAACACAGATTTACCACCGAATGAAGTGACTAAAACTATAATACACGAAGCTATTACGTAAAGCAGGGCTTAACTAACTGACCTTCTTAACAAACGCTACAACGGCAAATCAACTTTATTCAAGGAGTGATCTCAGTCCGTATTATATCAGACTTGGATATATATGGTGTCTCGTGATACATATACATGTTAGATATCTCCTTTAGAAACGGCATTACAATTATATATCTCCTATACGACATAAGATATACATAATATTATTATATACATGTTAGATACATCAAAAGCTTGTTAAAGATTTGATTTCTTATTTCATTTTTATGGAAGACATTTTATATGATTTAATACGTAAGATATATAATTTGTTGGAACACAAGACAGACTTTGCGTTTGGAATAGATGTACAAATTGGCTTATTTTACATTGCACCATGAAGCCAGAAGAAAGGCAATACAATCACAAAATCACGGATACAGGCCGATTTACCAAATATTAAAATCGATTCTGCCAGTCTATGTTTCATTTATTTAATTCTATTCTTGCAAACTGGCGAAAAAAATCTCAAACGATGTCTCATTGAAAAGAGCATTTTGGATGGTTAATTTTCCTACCTGCTTTACAACACAAAATGCATTTCTAAAACATATATCAGTGTTTGTCCTGGCGTTTAGTGCTAATGTGACACACGGAACATGTAATTTCATAGTAAGCTGCACACCCAATATCTTATTTGTAAAATGGTGTTAGATTCCCATAACTGTGTAGGCTAAATGTGTGTAGTGCTGCCACAGTACTGTCGCGAGGACTCCCGGAGTCATCAAATACAATTGTACTTTACAGCTTTCTTTAACACAACGTTAATTAGTTTGATTGAATTTCCGCTGACAATGCTAAAGTGACGACATATGATTCTGTCACGTGTTCAATAATACATTACGAGAGAATCGGTGTACAGTGTCGGCGACAAATGGAAAAATAGAGACAAGTTACTCCTGACCAAGGTGTCATTACAAAATGTGATTAGTCGTGGCACTGTTTACTGTGGAGCTTCGGTTTGGGGAGAACACCTAGATCTGGAATATTTATTAGAGTCTGGCTTATAACAAAAGTTGGAAAGCTGAAAAACTAAACAAATACAGTGATGACTGTAGTTCAAACACCCTTTCTTCTATTTACACAAACTATTTGTAAGATTTGAAAGTCCCTATTAACAAAAAATGTTATACGAGATCTCAAATTGATATCAAATTTATCAAAATAGCACTATATTTGACAAAATCATAAACATTTCTAAGTATGAACTTTTTGGGTACGCCCTGTACAAGGAATACAATATATTATTATATTATAAATATCAATATTTCTGCTGTTTCGGTTATCAAAATGACAAAATCTTTAGCAAAGATTACACTACCTACAATGATGGCTCGTATAAGCGAAGGAGGCAGGTGCCCGATTCACCCTGTATGTTGGTACAAGACCAACTGTTTCCTGCAGATTGGCGTATTCTCCAGGGTTATAAACAACCCCAATAACAATTACTTCCGGATTTATGTAGCTCGACTGATCTGTTCACATACCGAATCGATTTCACGTTCCGATAAACGGGAAATATGTACACACTAGATCTGGTCACCAAGACATCAAGCGGTTTCTGGACAACACCATCAGAAGCGACAACATGAGAAAATCATTTCTAGATCTGTAGTTCTGTACTATACTTTTACTTAGAAATATAATCGGTTTTTGGAAATGATTATTTGCCTACTGATGACACATCTAAGGAAAGTTTCGTGTTATTTATTATCGCGATGAAGTATGGATGAGGAGTCAAAAGTTCACTCGTCATCCAGTCCACTGTAGATGTAATCACATTACACTCCAATACATAACAGTTATACACACCGGACTTGGGAAAGCGCGCTTGACCCGGACATGTCTGCTGATGGACATTGACCAGTGCACAGAACTTGCCGACAATGGATTGTCGTTTTATAGACATGATGTCTGCATTCTGGTGTCTGTTTACAGAGTTCTTGCTCGTAAACAAGTGATTAAGCCAAGAGACGACAACACTGGTACATTATCACATCAAACATTGTTAATTCGAGAAAATACACAAACCTTAATGTCTTTCCTTTATCCTTATTTTCTGCATAGCAACATTGATATTACATGTAAGCTTCCATTTCAGATGAGATCATCATGCTCATAGCCTGCACGATCTGGAAGCCCTGTCATACTTAATATACGCTATAAAATATCCTAAGTTTGATATAAGTGGAAACGAATTTTCGTTTTATCATGGTACAAAAAAAATGAAAGTTGTAGTATGACATAAGACAAAATCGTTGTCCTTGATATGACGTCACGATTGGTGAACAAACGAAAGTTAACACAAAAAAGAACCCTTCATGCTGAGTATCAAAAAAATAACAAACGCTTTTCTCGGAGCCATTTATTTTGAAATATTAATACATATATAATGTAAGGATAAAACATAACGGTTTAAATGTGAATTCCCTCAGATGTGTGACACACAATACCAGAATGCTAAGTTTAGATTTGTCCAATTGAAGACAATTGAATCCAGTCCTCGCATGAACTAATACGGTTAAAGTCAAACTCCTCAGTATTCAGTATTTGAATGGATTTGTACAGTTTAAGACAATATTTTCAGACCTGTCTTTGTATGGATTTTCCAGCTGAAGTCAACCTCTTCATAGCTTAGGTGTCACCGTAGCTAATGCATCTCCCATCGAGATTTCTGCTTTTCTTTCGGTCTCTTCGAATTTCCTCAATCTCCTCATTGGTTTCAACATTTAGGCCCTTAGCATCACTGACAAGGACGAAACAGCTGCATGATGTAGTTTAATTAACTATGAGGCACTACTTTATCTAATTCTAAATTTGTATGTAAAAGTGCTATTCATATATGTGTCTTCTGTTCAGTCCTTGGGATAGACCTATTCAATAGTACACGACTCATCTTATTTAAATACTGGCCATATAACTGATTTTTTTCAGGCGAAGTTTTAAGCAAACAATGTCGTATACTGTCTGAAACACGTATTCAAATATTTGTTCTGTAAATGCGTTATGTTTGTTACCTTTTTCCGTGCTCCACAATATGTATTAATATCAGCACGGAACACACACATGTTTAATGTAAGATTTCATTTGCCCTGTTCTATCATTGATCATTTCTTAATAACTTTGCAAAATGCTTGTGAGATGTCTTCTGCCATTATCAAGTGTATTTTGAACTACAATTAATGTACCTCGTGTATCTTGCTAGATTTGCACAGGAAATGTTGTGGCGCCTTTGGTTGCGCGATATAACATGTAGTGGCATTAAGCTCCTTTGACGTGCAGTGGCATTAAGCTCCTTTGACGTGCAGTGGCATTAAGCTCCTTTAACATGTAGTGGCATTAAGCTCCTTTGACGTTTAGTGGCATTAAGCTCCTTTGACGTGCAGTGGCATTAAGCTCATTTGACTTGCAGTGGCATTGAGCTCCTTTGAGCGTCAAAGGAATTATTCTGTTTGGGTAACGCTTGTGGTGTAGATTGATACTGGTTATGCTCTTGGTCAGTCTCGAAGACATCTACAGGTATAAGCTCGAAGCTGAATAAAATCCATCGTATGGTACTCCTATTTAATAACTCTTAATATTCTCCAGTGATAGGATGAATCATTGAAAAATTCCAACATGCAACTCAGATAAGGTTTTTCCAGTCTTTTTTGGATTGTTGAAATTCATCTTTGTCTCCGTAGTCCATGTTAGCAGTGGTCTAAAACAAAGGACATCCTTCGGCAAACTCAGAGGACGGTGGAAGGATTGATAATCGCAACATTCCGGGAGACCACCATTCTCTCTGTTACATAATCATCTGTTTTTGTGGGCCTATAATTAGTACTGACTATTTCACACAGGAAATGGACCTTTTACGTAAAATTGAGATGATGCTTTAATGTCAGTTGATGGCAATGATATTATCATATCTAGCCAGTAATATAAAGCATTACACAAAACACGGATAGCCATAAATTGTACACTTTTACACATTTATTACAACGACCATTCTTCACATCGTCTGGCAGAAACAGAACCCCGGAAGATTCGCTCTCCAACGTCCAGATGTCACTGTTTACTAGGGCAGAAATTTACCCACGGAAAGCTGATGAGTTGAAACCATTGAAGAAAACCCTCTTAGAATATACATCGAAGTCTCTTGGGTCCGGTTTCGTCTCCGGATGTGTGATATTGAATCTGTGCGAGAGAAATTATCATTTAACAATATGGCAGAGAATTAGAAAAAAATAGCAATACCACTAAACTAGCTGCGTTTAATATATTTTTTCTACATTCAGTTATCTCCTGGAATGATACTAATTTCTGGACACAGTGTAAAAATAATAAGCTACCTTTTCTGTGTTTCCGACTTCTCAGCAAGGTTTAGGTTTGGCTGGTGCGGCCACTGCGTCCAGCTATCTATGCTAGGAAGAGGTCTTTGGTTGGAAAACTTTCTTTCCGGCAACATCTGAGTCTGTTTAGAGAGTTCCATCTCCATTTTCAGATCTGCCATATCACGGATTAAGGTCGATGGAATGGCAGGGCGCAGGAATTTGGAACATCCATAAGAAATATCTCCGTCCTTCTGTTTCTCTTCCTCGTAACTCATCACGTCCGGAACCGTTTGGTCACTCTCAAAACCTCCAGGATAATGAAGTATTGATGGCAAACGGTATCGATACACATCTTGTATAAGGAGATCGTGGAAGTTCTGGTTCTCATTACATGCACTCTCGCGCGTTCTTCTTTGGGAAGCCTTTGGAGAGAAAAATGATGGTTCATAACTTGAATCTACGTAGTTCGCTGTGTCGCCGCAGCTTCCCACGGGAATGTCACAGAAATCGTTCATCGCACTACTGTACACGCCGTTGTCTTGCCCTTCATATGGATCTTGGACCAAACATGCAGGATGTGCCATTGGTTCGTATACATCGGGAACTTCTTGCTCTTGGTACATTGCAGGACTCGGATCTCCGGGGTACATACTGCTGTAGCGCGATGTACAGTACAATTTCGAGTGTGTGCTCTCAATGGCTGACCGTGTTGTCGAATGTAACACATATTCTCCTGCAGAAACATAGACACAGCGTCATCAAATTATAATTGTCGCTAAGAGGTTTCCTTTTTAAACCTAGACAGATGTGGATACTTTAAGATATGTAAAAAAGTAACTGATGTTATGTTTTAAGAAATGAAATGAAAAAAAATCAAACCCGTATGTAGAACGTAATGGCCTTGAAGTCAATTCAATATCTTGGATATTATCTCCATATATATTCACAACACAATCTTATTTTGGTTACACATCATCCTGGAAGTAAATACTCACCTGTTAAAGCAGGTGTCTTTTTCATGAACGCCATTAGTCAGTTGATCCTAATTTAATTTCTGACCAACTTTGCTTTGTTCATTCAATATACTGTTTAAATCAAGTTTTTTTTTATCTTTCTCATTTTAAGGGACTTTCATCGAAGTGTATATTTACATTGGAGAGTGACTACTTAACACGCATCAAGTTAAATCAATTTCGAAGCAGAGATAGGAAACCATTTTTAAAATTGAATGACCTGAGACACAGCAGTAGGCGGCACGAACAGCAGCACAATAACTCCTATAGTAAATGATTAGATTTACTTTTATACATCAAACGTGTCACCATACATAAACTGAGATTAAATAAAATAGCCGTTTACAACCAATATCAGGGATGACACGTCTTTGTACTCGTCCGCACGTGTAAATATCGATAAATACATTGTACAACCGTTTGGGTCGGTAAACATTGATCTAGTGTCTATTAAACAGCATTGTAATCATATAAAAATGTTTGCCAGTGAAGTAATCCAACTTTAAGCTTAACCCTGTGATTTTAATTAAGTTTAATTTCAATTTGCCGTATCATATGATAAAGGACATTGGCCTCATTTTATTAAATTATTTAGCTCCGAACAGATAACTTTGCAGAAATGGCCATTTTGTGTTAAACTTTAAACACTTAAAATTGTAGTGATGACATTTTTATCGAATAAGTGATCGATTGTCAACGACGGTCGTTTGGAATCTGATAACCAATAAAACTGAGAGGGGGAAAAAGGCCCCATGATCAAAGAAAAGAAGGATGTAAATCTGTACGGGGATATACTGTATATGTCACTAATATTACGTAAACTACAAACGGGCAGACATAGAAGGACAGACAGCCTGATTCGTATCGGTACACGTGTTCTTGTTATAAAACATTAAGAAAACTGGTCGATATAATGCAATATGACTTTACCGTTTTGGTCTTTTCTTTCTCTGTCGTGTAAGGGAAACACGTCCACTTGTGGATCACAAGTCACGTGACGGTCAGTTTTGTGGGGCGCAACCATTCCGCTAGAACAGAGATTAATTAAAGTGTTAACATGGATAATATAGAGACAGGCTGGACACAGGTTTTAGTATAAAACTATTATCAATGTTTTTGGAGTCATGTTCATGAGTTGATACCAAGGCGTTACCTCCAAGGAGATGACGAAAGGAAAGGACAGTTTTCGATTGGACATATCTGTGTGAGTGCAGGGTATCATAAGACTGGAATTTATTTAGAAATTGGTAAAATGACAAAATGTTTTTGAGGAGTACAGTGACCATATCTTTAACAATGAGTTTTATTTCGTTCATTACTATGTAGAATTGTAGACATAACGTATCCTTCTTTTTGAACCAAAACTTGATACCTTAAATTCAAACATAAAAGGCAACTTACAACGCTGAGCGCTAAAACGACCAAATACAATGTAAATTAGTTCGTGAGTTCAAAGACGATCTTGTAAGTGGAGTTGTGGGTTCTGAGACGACCGTGTAAGTTGAGTTGTGAGTTCCGAGACGATCGTGTAAGTTGAACTGTGAGTTCCGAGACGACCGTGTAAGTTGAGCTGTGAGCTCTGAGACGACCATGTAAGTTGAGTTGTGAGTTCTAAGACGACCGTGTAAGCTGAGTTGTGAGTTCTAAGACGACCGTGTAAATTGAACTGTAAGTTCTGAGACGATAGTGTAAGTTTAATTGTGAGTTCTAAGACGACCGTGTAAGTTGAACTGTGAGTTCTAAGACGACCGTGTAAGTTGAGTTGTGAGTTCTAAGACGACCGTGTAAGTTGAACTGTGAGTTCTAAGACGACCGTGTAAGTTGAGTTGTGAGTTCTAAGACGACCGTGTAAATTGAACTGTAAGTTCTGAGACGATAGTGTACGTTTAATTGTGAGTTCTAAGACGACCGTGTAAGTTTAATTGTGAGTTGTGATTTTTCAACTTCATCATTCTGTATTCATACAGTAGCATCCACAGCAGTTAAGGACATATGACTACATATTGACGGTCTAAAACATGATGACCCTTTACAATGATGGAAATATTTTATATTGTTTAAGGTATACCTGTGATCTGCTTCTAGAGGCTTCGGTAATCTGAAATGTAAGACGTAAAAACAATATCAGTATTCTAAACTAAACAACCTTGGTTTCATATAACACATTTTATAATCATTCTTAATAATTAATAATGCGACTAGGCAAGGTCAGACTTGTCGAAGTGATCAAGGTCAAACTGGTCAAGGTCGAACTGATCTCGGTCAAACTAGTCAATGTCGGAGTGATCAAGGTCAAACTGGTCAATGTCCAATTGGTCAAGGTGTCAATAATTTAACGATTAAGGTAGGCATTAAAGGTAACAAAATGTGATGATGTCATAAATAAAAATGATTTATATCACCATGAAACGACAAAGTGGATGATCCTCCACAAAAATCATTACAATAAACTTATTATAATGTGCATCAGTAATTCTGTGCTTTCAAAAATCGAACTTTTCACCAATTTTGGGAGAGTAAAAGGATCTTAAATCATGGGCTACACACGAGGATTTTCACGCAATCATGGGTCCATTTTAAACCCACCTCCTTTAAAAAGGTTTTCGACAGAGAAACAACTGAAATATTTCTTTTTTTTCTTTTTCCGTGAAACTTAAAGTTAAAGTTTAAAATCCCAAACACATAGTATTCTTATTACCAACGCTAAAAAATGCTTCACCCCAAAACTATCTACAAACTCGTGTGTTTTAAAACGCAGATGGATACACTAAAGCGCAGCAGAATGGAGATAAAATAAATCTCCAATCTGTTATCATGGATTCGGTGTTATCCAGCCACAGTAGGCCTGGCAAGGTCTAAATCTCAAGTCTGTTATCATGAATTCGGTGTTATCCAGCCACAGTAGGCCTGACAAGGTCTAAATCTCAAGTCTGTTATCATGGATTAGCAAGGTCTAAATCTCCAATCTGCTATGATGGATTCGGTGTTATCCAGCCACAGTATAGGCCTAGCAAGGTCTAAATCTCTATTTCTGTTATCATGAATTCGGTGTTATCCAGCCACAGTAGGCCTAGCAAGGTCTAAATCTCAAGTCTTTTATCATGGATTCGGTGTTATCCAGCCACAGTAGGCCTGACAAGGTCTAAATCTCAAGTCTGTTATGATGGATTCGGTGTTATCCAGCCACAGTAGGCCTGACAAGGTCTAAATCTGAAGTCTGTTATCATGAATTCGGTGTTATCCAGCCACAGTAGGCGTGACAAGGTCTAAATCTCAAGTCTATTATCATGGATTCGGTGTTATCCAGTCACAGTAGGCCTGACAAGGTCTAAATCTCCAGTCTGTTATCATGAATTCGGTGTTATCCAGCCACAGTAGGCCTGACAAGGTCTAAATCTCAAGTCTGTTATCATGGATTCGGTGTTATCCAGTCACAGTAGGCCTAGCAAGGTCTAAATCTCAAGTCTGTTATCATGGATTCGGTGTTATCCAGCCACAGTAGGCCTGGCAAGGTCTAAATATCCAGTCTGACATTAAGGATTTGGTATTGTCCGGACACGGTAGGCCTGATAAGGGTGTAAATCTCCAGTCTGTTAGGATAGATTCGGGCTTGTCTCGAAACCATAGGCCTGACATTGGTGTAAATCGCCAGTGTATTATGATGGATTCGGACTAGAGACTGAAGTCTTAGTAATGGCGGCTCTAAATCTCCAATCTGGTAATGATGGATTGTGATTTATACGAAGACCGAAGGCTTTGCATTTTGTCTAAATCTCCAGTCTGGTGTAATGGACTCGGACTTGTCCGGAGACCATGGGCATGATTATGGTGTAAATTTCCAGTCTTTTTTTCACAATCTTTCGTATTTTCTACGCTTACCTTACGCTTCAGCATAGCGTTGAGCAGGGCGAAGGGAGGTAACTCCGAAAGGATTACAAGACAAGAACTTACCTATGACAGCCGAAGGTATCGATTGGATCATGGCTTCCGACGACTTCAGCTTGATGACAACAGTCAAAATTACTGCGACTGTCAATATACATTAATAAGACCAGGTTACAACAATGTCTTTACCATTTGTTAACAAGTTCAGAACACATCAGCCGCCCAGAAGGCGTATCAGCGCTTTAATAATCACTGGATCAACCATTAAATTCTGTTTAATTAAAGAGTTAACCACATGTTAATTAAACTATTACCAATTATAATCATCATCATAGCTATGGCATTTCTTCGTACATACAAATCATATAAACAAGTCACTGAGCATCGGGCAATACCGTTCATGTGAACAGTTGAAAAGTCCAACTCATTCCAAACAAAAACCTTTACACTGGAGTTTTTGTTATTGATTGGTAACTAATGCACATTGTATGAAGCTTGATTATAATTTTAACGATAGTTTCATCTCAATTTCGTTTTAACATCTTTATAATTTTACAGCCTCTATGTAAGTATATCTAAGTTATTAATAAATTGAGATATTGCTGCAGTCTGTCTGCTATCTTACTCACAATCTCGATAGACCATCTGACACCCGACAGTCACGCCCATCTTTACTGATGACGTCATATTCCCCCCAGCGTGGCTTTAACCGGGGCGACCACAATTGGTTGTCGACAGTACCAGGGGGCCTGTAACAGTTTTACATCATTTCTAAATGTTTTAAAAACTTTTGTTTAACAGCAGTCAGAGGCATGATGACTTCAACTTCATCTTACATATACCGAGTCTAAATGGTAACGTTGAAGCACAAAAAACGGAAATAAACCTTCAATAATTTTGTGAAAAAGCGTACACTTACATATCAGATCTACTTCTAACATTTATACCATATAAACATTTTTACGTCAACAAAGAACAAGACCGTGACATCCTCTAGACAGACTTAAATACTTTTTGAAAACAAAAATTCAATTTAACGTCCGAAAATGCTATATCCTACCAATGCACCAGCAATCTTCAAAATTCTATGAACCTTTCATCAACAAACGAAGAATAAAAGGATCTCAAATATAGCATATAAATAAATTATATCTATAGTGTAAGAAAACACCACCCTAAGCTTTCCTTACGGTAAAACTACATTCCTAACCCTGGTCAGTTCTATGATAAAATACGTGGCTAGGATTTGGAATGAATATATACAGGGTTATTTTGATAAACTTAAAAGATTTCAAAACGGTATGTAAATATGTATGTACGGTTCGTAAAGGATAACTACGTGTATAACAGCAGATATCCAGGGTCAATGACTACGATGAGAAACAGCCTGAAGATAGAAACACTGGAGCCAAACAAATTACCTTCCCCGTAAATTCAACTCTTCCTATTCAAACATTAGATTAAGACAGTTCACAGTTATATCGAATACAGTCAAAAAATACCAAAAACCTCTCCATACAAATATTCCTTCTTCATTAACACTGTGAAACATTGGGAGCCTGACAGTACCGTGCATACTGATCGTACAAGTACAGAACGTTCCGCCATTTCGTACAACGTATATTTACATATAGTTACCACTGAAAATAGATTGCTAAACAAGCAGTAAGGCTGTAACGCCATAAGATCTACTGATCAAACGGCGTTCTACATAACAAATACGGACGTACCCCGGAGGTCTGTTTAAATCCATAATCGGGGGAATTATGCCATTACGTCGATAATAACTGTGAAAATTGATCAGAAACATGGTATAAACGATTGTTTTATGTGTCTGTAAGCTGACATGGTCCTCTGGAAATCACCGGTCCGGAGGACGTGGCTGATGTTGGTACATAGGCTGGTTACTGTTCATAATTTTGTCATGCTACATGTAGTTTGATATTAGAAGAATAATGATTTTCTTAAAACTTCCAAAATACCCGTCAATGTACATGTCATTATTGATTGACGAAAACTGGTAGATTTTAACGATATACAAAATGTAAATATGATTGAAATACACCATCTCAATATGAAGTGACCGATATTTGATTAAGTGTACATACATCCCTGTCCTCACCTAACTAACACATGTCTGACACATGATCCTTCATATTGTTTATAACGTAGGGACAGTCATGAAATCATTCTATAAAGACTGCACCCTACGATATACTTATGACGTAGATGTGACCTTAGTCTTACCTTGCAAACGGCGATAGAGGATCCTGTCCGTAAATTGCCGACATTTTGGTGATCAGCCCCGCCTGACAACAACCCATGACGTCACAATAGTGCCACGTCACAATGAAGACGGCGTCACAGCAGATAGTAGGCCAAATGCACACATTTGCCAGCGTTTCGTTCGGAATTTCTAAATCATGTTTTGAAAAACTGCTTATAGAACAACATCAATCGTGTGATATACATATTTTTGTTATCTGCTTATGGAAACACATCAAATAAAATTTCTGATCTTTTACAGAACTACACCTAAAGTCATGATATGCATTACGGGAGGTTTAACACCGTAATTTAATGTAATTGTTCAGATATTTGTGTGATGAATAGTACCGGTACGCCTAAAACTGTATTTTTGACATTTTTGAACAAGAATTATATCCTACAAGTTTCAATAAATATGATACTCATTTCCAATCTTATAATACTCACGTAAATCCGTGTTTTACTTATTGACGAGATTGAATTATTTGGTTTTGTTTGACAGAGATAAACGCCGATATCGAACACTGCTGTGTCATATTGTATTTCGGTAAGCTGTGGATTTCTACTGCTAATCAATCATAGGATAAACACGATCTGGTTTGGCAAGACCACGCTTCGCCATAACTAACCGCAGCGCGAAGTACAGTCAGGGATGACCGCGCCTCAACATAACTAACTGTCGCGGAAAGAATAGTCAGCAGGGTTGCGCTTCGCCATAACTAACTGCGGCGCGAAGTACAGTCAGGGAGGACCGCGCCTCAACATAACTAACTGTCGCGGAAAGAATAGTCAGCAGGGTTGCGCTTCGCCATAACTAACTGCGGCGCGAAGTACAGTCAGGGAGGACCGCACCTCAACATAACTAACTATCGCGGAAAGAATAGTCAGCAGGGTTGCGCTTCGCCATAACTAACCGTCAGGGAGGACCGCGCTACAACATAACTAACCAAAAGAGCGAAGAATTGTCACTAGGATTTTGTTTCAGTATAACTAACCAGTACAGGCGGAAGGATCGCAATGTAGCATGAATATCAAGTGCGCTACAGTTTGATTAATCACGACGCGAAGTACAGTCAGCAAGCCTGAACTTTGGCATAACTAACCAGAGCGCGAAGTATGGTCAGCAGGACCGCGCTTCAGCATAACTAACCAGAGCGCGAAGTATGGTCAGTAGGACCGCGCTTCAGCATAACTAACCAGAGCGCAAAGTATGGTCAGTAGGACCGCGCTTCAGCATAAAAACCAGAGCGCGAAGTATGGTCAGTAGGACCGCGCTTCAGCATAAAAACCAGAGCGCGAAGTATGGTCAATAGGACCGCGCTTCAGCATAACTAACCAGAGCGCGAAGTATGGTCAGTAGGACCGCGCTTCAGCATAACTAACCAGAGCGCGAAGTATGGTCAGTAGGACCACACTTCAGCATAAAAACCAGAGCGCGAAGTATGGTCATTAGGACCGCGCTTTAGCATAACTAACCAAAGCGCGAAGTATGGTCAGTAGGACCGCGCTTCAGCATAACTAACCAGAGGGCGAAGTATGGTCAGTAGGACCGCGCTTCAGCATAACTAAGCAGAGCGCGAAGTATGGTCAGTAGGACCGCGCTTCAGCATAACTAACCAGAGCGCGAAGTATGGTCATTAGGACCGCGCTTCAGCATAACTAACCAGAACGCGAATTATGGTCAGTAGGACCGCACTTTAGCATAAAAACCAGAGCGCGAAGTATGGTCAGTAGGACCGCGCTTCAGCATAACTAACCAAAGCGCGAAGTATGGTCAGTAGGACCGCGCTTTAGCAGAAAAACCAGAGCGCGAAGTATGGTCAGTAGGACCGCGCTTCAGCATAACTAACCAGAGCGCGAGGTATGGTCAGTAGGACCTCGCTTCAGCATAACTAACCAGAGCGCGAAGTATGGTCAGTAGGACCGCGCTTCAGCATAAAAACCAGAGCGCGAAGTATGGTCAGTAGGACCGCGCTTCAGCATAAAAACCAGAGCGCGAAGTATGGTCAGTAGGACCGCGCTTCAGCATAACTAACCAGAGCGCGAAGTATGGTCAGTAGGACCACATTTCAGCATAACTAACCAGAGCGCGAAGTATGGTCAGTAGGACCGCGCTTTAGCATAACTAACCAGAGCGCGAAGTATGGTCAGTAGGACCGCGCTTCAGCATAACTAACCAGAGCGCGAAGTATGGTCAGTAGGACCGCGCTTCAGCATAACTAACCAGAGCGCGAAGTATGGTCAGGACCGCGCTTCAGCATATGGTCATTAGGACCGCGCTTCAGCACTAACCAGAACGCGAATTATGGTCAGTAGGACCGCACTTTAGCATAAAAACCAGAGCGCGAAGTATGGTCAGTAGGACCGCGCTTTAGCAGAAAAACCAGAGCGCGAAGTATGGTCATTAGGACCGCGCTTCAGCATAACTAACCAGAACGCGAAGTATGGTCAGTAGGACCGCACTTTAGCATAAAAACCAGAGCGCGAAGTATGGTCATTAGGACCGCGCTTCAGCATAACTAACCAGAACGCGAATTATGGTCAGTAGGACCGCACTTTAGCATAAAAACCAGAGCGCGAAGTATGGTCAGTAGGACCGCGCTTCAGCATAACTAACCAAAGCGCGAAGTATGGTCAGTAGGACCGCGCTTTAGCAGAAAAACCAGAGCGCGAAGTATGGTCAGTAGGACCGCGCTTTAGCAGAAAAACCAGAGCGCGAAGTATGGTCAGTAGGACCGCACTTTAGCATAAAAACCAGAGCGCGAAGTATGGTCAGTAGGACCGCGCTTCAGCATAACTAACCAAAGCGCGAAGTATGGTCAGTAGGACCGCGCTTTAGCAGAAAAACCAGAGCGCGAAGTATGGTCAGTAGGACCGCGCTTCAGCATAACTAACCAGAGCGCGAGGTATGGTCAGTAGGACCTCGCTTCAGCATAACTAACCAGAGCGCGAAGTATGGTCAGTAGGACCGCGCTTCAGCATAAAAACCAGAGCGCGAAGTATGGTCAGTAGGACCGCGCTTCAGCATAACTAACCAGAGCGCGAAGTATGGTCAGTAGGACCGCGCTTCAGCATAAAAACCAGAGCGCGAAGTATGGTCAGTAGGACCGCGCTTCAGAATAAAAACCAGAGCGCGAAGTATGGTCAGTAGGACCGCGCTTCAGCATAACTAACCAGAGCGCGAAAGACGGTTAGCATAACTAGCCAAACGTGGTATTTTATCTCACTTAAGAAAAGTTTGTAGACAGTTAAACTGCGTCATATCATCTAATAATGGTATGTACTAAGTTTGCCCACGTCACCATAATTTTGTACAAAGTTTGTCAACAAGTAAAACTAATCTGCTTAATATACAAAGTTTGTGTATAGGTGAACGGCTTCTATATAATTATGTTTGTGGACAAGTAAATCCCATCTCCATACTCACACATACGTGTATGTTCAGAGTATACAGATAAGACACATCTAATATGTACAAATGGTTTTCAGGTAGCCACGTTCACACAGTTATGGTTGTTACTGTCCTTTCCAAATATAACCAGTTTTCAAAATAAAACCAGACGTTTGGAGAGCGTATAAATGTATTTAGGTGTTTGGTATGGGAGTTCATTATTCCTGTATGGACTTTGAAAGTTGGAAGACTTGAAGTTAAATGCATTTTAATATTCCTTTTTCTTACAAAAAGAAAAAATAATGACTACGTTTCCTTTTAGAACGTACCTGAGTAGGTGAGAAGCTTTAAAGTTTTACATATATTTAAATAATATGTCCAGTACGTAATACCTTGTCAATATGCTCGTGTAGGGAAATAATTAGGCTTCACTTTATACAGGTAAAACGTACTTAATCTTACACTAATCGAAAGATTATGGACTATAAAAAGACTTAAAATGGTACATACTCCCGTCCTATGTACATGTAGGAGCTCGATTGATTTCTCACTGCAAACATAAACTCATTTGTATCTGTAAATATAAGTAACTGAAAATGATCACGGAGTCAGAAATACTACGCAGAACAATCAGAAAGGATTGATTGATATCTTGTTTGAAATAATAATAATTATGTGTTTGTTATATACATAGAATATAATATTAAGTCCCATATTGTCCTTTCTTCTCTTCTGGGGTTATCCTACTCATTTATTCTACATCTTTATGTAAAAATTACCAATCTAAACCAGGATTGAGGACACAACACCTTGTCCTTCGCCTGACAGAGAACATCACACCCTGTCCGCCGCCTGACAGAGAACACCACACCCTGTCCGCCGCCTGACAGAGAACACCACACCATGTCCGCCGCCTGACAGAGAACACTACAACCTGTCCACCGCCTGACAGAGAACACCACACCTTGACCGCCGTCTGACAGAGAACACCACACCTTGTCCGCCGCCTGACAGAGAACACCACACCTTGACCGCCGTCTGACAGAGAACACCACACCTTGTCCGCCGCCTGATAGAGAACACCACACCCTGTCCGCCGCCTGACAGATAACATCACACCCTGTCCGCCGCCTGACAGAGAACACCACACCCTGTCCGCCGCCTGACAGAGAAACCACACCCTGTCCGCCGCCTTACAGAGAACACCACACCCTGTCCACCGCCTGACAAAGAACACCACTCACTGTCCGCCACCTGACAGAGAAACCACAACCAGTCCGCCGCCTGACAGAGAACAACACATCATGTCCGCCGCCTGACAGAAAACACCACACCCTGTCCGCCGCCTGACAGAGAGACCACACCCTGTCCGCCACCTTACAGAGAACACCACACCCTGTCCGCCGCCTGACAGAAAACACCACACCCTGTCCGCCGCCTGACAGAGAGACCACACCCTGTCCGCCACCTTACAGAGAACACCACACCCTGTCCGCCGCCTGACAGAGAACACCACACCTTGTCCGCCGCCTGAAAGAGAACACCACACCATGTCCGCCGCCTGAAAGAAAACATCACACCCTGTCCGCCGCCTGACAGAGAAACCACACCCTGTCCGCCGCCTTACAGAGAACACCACAACCAGTCCGCCGCTTGACAGATAACAACACACACTGCCCGCGACCTGACAGAGAACACCCCACCCTGTCCGCCGCCTGACAGAGAACACCACTTCCTGTCCGTCGCCTGACAGAGAACACCACATTCTGTCCGCCGCCTGACAGAGAACATCACACCCTGTCCGCCGCCTGACAGATAACAACACACACTGCCCACCGCCTGACAGAGAACACCACACCCTGTCCGCCGCCTGACAGAGAACATCACACCCTGTCCGGTGCCTGACAGAGAACACCACATCCTGTCCGCTGCCTGACAGAGAACACCACTTCTGTCCGTCGCCTGACAGAGAACACCACATCCTGTCTGCCGCCTGACAGAGAACACCACATCCTGTCCGCCGCCTGACAGAGAACACCACACCCTGTCCGTCGCCTGACAGAGAACACCACATCCTGTCTGCCGCCTGACAGAGAACACCACACCCTGTCCGCCGCCTGACAGAGAAACCACACCCTGTACGCCGCCTTACAGAGTACACCACAACCTGTCCGCCGCCTGACAGAGAACATCACACCCTGTCCGCCGCCTGACAGAGAACACCACACACTGTCCGCCGCCTGACAGAGATCACCACACCCTGTCCGCCGCCTTACAGAGAACACCACACCATGTCCGCCTCCTGACAGAGAACACCACATCCTGTCCGCCGCCTGACAGAGAACACCACACCATGTCCGCCGCCAGTGCGAAGATTGTTCTCTTACGATTTAATGAAAATCCTCAGTGATCGCAAAGCTTGTCTCTGTCAGTAGGGATCGAGTAGTATGCCGGATAGCAGAGAAAGCTTTTCACGAGTTAGTTATTTTTCAAGTGCAACTAATTCAACGTTTTATGATATGTAAATCATTCGATCTTATAACATCATTTGATCCCCTGGTGTATCACTACTTATTTCCATCAACCTGAACGTCTACAAGACAACTGCCATCACTACATGTAGCCTTCTTCTTGGAGGCGAGACCTGGACCTGAATGGAGGACTGACATCAAACAGCTCAGTTTGCCTCCACTTTTTCACATCAAATGGCACCAGAGGATCACAGACATTGAAGTCCTGGACCACAATCAAACCAGAATTGTCGACGCCATGATCCTAAAAGCTGAATTCAGATGAACGGAGCATGTCAACCGTACATATTCCGCGAGAACCTCAAAATAACTATATGATGAAAGGGAAAGCAAGCCAGAACATTGAAATGTTTCAAACCCCATGAGACTTAAATCGCCACACTGGTTAACATGTGCTGTTATCTCCCATTCATATGGCGTTTGTTTGTTCTCGTCGATGACTGCCCGTCAGATAGCCACCAGCTATCACCTCATAACACCAACTCATTTTAAAGTGGTAGCTACAGTAGCTGGTAACTGGTTACTGACCAACATGCGGGAGGTCCATAGCTTGTTATCCAAAGTAATCAGAGTAAAATTCTCTTCTCATGACAGAATCGCTTCAGTACAGGATAGTCGGTGATCTCAGCTTCATAACACAAACCGCCCGAGTATAGGGATCGAGCCGAAAAACTGAGATCTTCACCTGAGAAATACAAACCGGCCTAGTAGGGATCAAATCACACAATTAAGATCTTCACCTGAGAAACGCAAACCGCCCGAGTAGGGATCGGATCACACACCTAAGATCTTCACCTGAGAAACACAAACCGCCCGAGTAGGGATCAAATCGCACACCCCGTATCTTCACCTTTTAATAAAAGTATTGAAGTTCCAGAATGTGAATTTATAAAGACAAATAATATGTACAAGTATTAGATTAATCAAAATATTACGTTATGTTAATTTGAGCAGAGTTGCGTCGGTTTTCCATGTTTTGATAACTGCTTAAGACTTTTCAAATGTTTTAGTCTGCTACAAAATTTATAAATCATTCACTGCAGGAAAATGACGATTTCCATCAAGGTCAAGAACGTCCACTGAGCGCCTTTGATAGGTCACTGCTTTCCGACTAAGTTCTTGATGCCAGGGATACTTAAGGCTACTGAGAAAGATTCAAACAAATCACACTCCGCGACAATTTAAAATGGCTGCCGCCCAGTTGGAAGCGACGTGGGAGACGACCGGAGAACGCAGTATAAACATTATTCTTTCGCGTAGCTGTCGGGCAATTTTCATCATTTCTAAAATAAATTGACAAAATCAATAATTACAGTTTGATTATGTTGTTTCCTATTGTTTTTCTAACGTGTCGCATAATTATATTTTGCCTTTGTAATACTGTTTGATCGTCCTCTAATTTAAAATGTCGGACTTTATCTTAAAACGCAATCCATTAGACTCGCACAAGTAACTGTAGACTACGATTCGTTCAAAATGTTGAAAACAAACCACCAGAAATATAAGCAATGAATCTTGCGTTTGTCGATGGCATGTGGTGGTAAATTGGGTTGGTCTTCAGACAAATTCCACATGAACTGCCTCGCATTAAATTTGTCCCAAGATCAACTTAAATCGGCACGAGCAAGATTGAATGCTTAAGACAGTCACATTGTGTTGTCTCCCGGTACGGATATATAAATTATATGTGCAGAACAGTAATGTAACGAGACCTGCCTCGGTTTAGATAATCCTCAGTAATCGTAAACATAGTAAAACTGTCATTTCAAGTAAAACAGTTCCTCGACAATCCGACAGTTTGTTGGTCCGAACAAAACACTATATAATTCATCCGGATAAACAGCGGAGATACCTTGTCGATACCTTGTTGACTGGATTAATCAGTGCTGAAAGCATTCTGAATAAAATGATTAGATAGAGCTTCGTTATCTAAGTAGAAAAAAATCGTTAATCCAAATAAAAGAGTACAGTTTGATATCAAAATTCTCATAAAATAGTACCATGGAACCTCACACTGCTTTCAAGAAAAACACGCTTTTCAAACTATTCTGGTTTAACTGTTATGTATATAAAAGTTGATGGTGATAGCTATTGGCACTGGTACTAAAAACTATTACCTTGTAAATATAAAGTGAGAATTTTAGCATGATTTCGTATTTCTTTTATTTTCTAATGGATATGTTTAAATGTTAAATCAACATGCAAATTACACGTATTGACATTGAGAGTATACGTGGGAATCTGAGATTGACAGTTATGAGTTAGCATTGTTTTGCCTTTGATTATACGTAGGTATTACGTTTACATCAACAAATACTTTGTTTGTACAATTCAATATACAGTACTGTACAAGCTGCTTTCCTCTTAACAATAAGACAACATAAAGGGTTCACGTGTTATAGATTAACAGAGTTGTAAATACGTAAGTGATTCGTATCATTTTTCATATTTCAATTTGTTTTTAGGACTTATTATGTTATATAACAAAAGATAAGCTATGTCACATGGGTGTCACATGATGCTGTATGATTATTGGTATTCTTCAAAACTAACCAACCGGCACGTGAGCTATTAGGCTCCCTAATGAGGATACAGTAATGTCAAGGCCAATCATTGATTAATTAAATAGTCAATGCACATTGTCGTGTTATTCCACAATGACCCAAAATTCCACGAATGGTACCGATTGTCGATACACAAAGATAACTATTCGATTACTCAAATATCATTCACTCTGGTTGATGGTCAACCTCCTCTAGAAGTTCAACCTTTTCTTGGTGGGTTCCCAGTAATGGAGAGTTTACTGGGCACGTTCTGCCTTCGTCAGAAGGCGCCTGTTTTTCACTTTTCCTACTCTCGTGTTCATCCCATGTGGGCTTTATTTCAATCACAATGGAGTTGGCATGGTTACCAGACCTACCGTCCGCACCGGTAGCAGGATTGGGCTGGTTGACGTCAATCACAGATTGAAGAACCCTATTTTCGTACCCATAATGTGACACCAAACTACTTTCCCTATCTGCTGACCTATGGTCATTGCTCTTCCCTTCCACTCCCCGCTGTTGCATCAACTCCACATACTCCTTGTATGCCTCCACAGATTTATAGTCTCTGTCTGTAATTCCTTGGTTGGAGTTTTTCCTCAGGCGTAATGGAACTTTAATTCCCCACTGCGCTGGTCGGTATTTCATATATTCATGTTTTAATGGACGATCGATTTTCCTCGTTTTGGATGAAGCGTGTTCATAAATTCGCCCCATGTCACTTGGTTGTCTAACTACGGTTGTTAACTGTCCCGCATTTTCCTTCAAGAATTCAGTGCTTGCTTCAATTCTTCGAACTTCAAAACAATTTTCGCTCGTGACAGAGTCCATTGTGTTTTGTTTTTGAAGTCCCTTTACCTGAATTGATTCTACTCGTTTCTTTTCCGGTTGTGGTACTATCATCCTGTTTGATAGGACCGCATCTTTAACCTGTCGCTCTAACACCATGTTTTTTCTACTATTGTCAACGGGAATATCACCGACCGTCCATGGTCTGTCGTTAACGATTCGAGGAAGCGTGCACACATGGTATCGCAACTTGTCCTTAGATAAACAATATGTATTCCGGTACATCCGGTCACGTGCATCTTTGGCACGCGCAATATTTTCCTTCCACTGCTCCCAAGCATCTGGTTGCTTAATTGTATCGTCGGTCGTCTTAGTATCCTTATAAGATCCGTCCGAAAGCAGAAATTTGAACGCTCTTGGGGAAATTACAGATGGCGTTTTAGAAGAATTCTGTGACCTGTTGTTCGGTGTCTGCTTGCGTGGACTGAACGAAGAAGATAATTGTTCTTTCATCGGGCGGGGTATTCGTTTGGGGCTTATAACATCGAACCGGAAGTTAGTGTCTCCACGATTATCGGGTATATCTGTTAAAAGTGGAGCGCGAACACCAACAGGGAACATACGCCGTGAAATGTTCTCTATTATAGCTTTCTCCTGCTGACGTTTATCTATCGACGCTCTGGGTTCGAATCGTCTTGCTGGAGTTTTCTCCGTCAGAAAGAAATCTAGACGACGCTTAGGCGGAGGGGGATTGTTCTCCATTTGAACAGACATTTTGTCGTTTTAAGTTTACTCCGTTGTCGTCCTTTTGTGTCAGTTTATACACTAGCTTATGGTATCCGATTCGAAAATCAAAATTCATGGTACACAGATCCCGTAACACATGTGTCCACGGAAAGAGGAATGTCCGTGGTGGAATTTGGAACACTAGGATGGCCGGTTGTGACGTAGAATCTTGGCTGAAGTGGAAACAAACTTCCCCTCACCTGTCCAGCGCACACTCCTGAAAGAAGGAATGGAAGTATACAGTTACATTTCGTTAGGTTAATCAACAGGTAAATCCCCGGTAGAAAGCCTTACTAAACCTATCCGATTATAACAACTTATTATGTGGGCAAAGGGCATTCAAATTCGTACTGGGTATTTAACAAAAGTGAAAAGATTCTATTAAATAAATACATCTACCTGAATTTATATGTAAAAAGCCGATTTACAATGCAGTGCCGGGGTAAATAAACTCGCTGTATATATATGTCTGGTGTAGCTACGGGCTGACGCCTTTGTATGTTATGTGTACAGAACTCCACTCCGCTAATGGCGTGGACTTGTTGATCACTTCAAATTAATTATAATTGAAGAAGTTCGATCATTTATAGGGTGTAATGTACTAGACTCGTATTATTAGGTTTGTCAGGTGTGCATTGTTGTGTGTGAGTAGTAGTGGAATATTATGACATCTAGGTATATTATATATCAACGCCGGCAGCACGTGTGTTGGGTAGACCTAACGTAAACCTAATGTATCCTCTGTGACATGTTTATAGCGAACCTAAACCTGACACAACTAAATGAATGGTAGGGATTTAGGTGATAAAATCTTATCGATCAATAGACTTTGCAGTACAAAAATCCATGTTATTTTCTCCCTTTGTTGACTATTGACAGATGTATAACACAGGCTGACCTCTCCACATTATTAGGATAAATATTGGTATGTAAAAACGTTTAACAAGTCATCAAATATGTCTATCAGATAAAACTATTGATATCCATTTTTAAAAGATATTGTATTCATTTTCAAGTTGATAAAATCGTCTACGAATATTATTTTCCATTTTAGTTAGTCTCTTTTTCAGCCAACAAGCACAAATCTTCACGAGTTTCGTCAACGGAAAGAGAAGAAAATGTCAACTAATTTTTTTCTTCGTAAAAGAAATGGCTTCCAAGGACAACTGTTGAAATCTACACGTCATGTTTTTGTTTCCTATACGCAATACATTTCGACAGCTGATGGTATGATTATGTAGGGTACGAAGTTCAGCCACACAGAAAGGTGATTTCACATAGAATATGATAATCATTCTATCAAAACTACAATCGATTTTAAGGTCACAACACTAAACATATTTACATATCCCAGATTCTAAGTCTATTCTGCTGACACAGATAAGGTGATTTCACAGTAGGAAAACAGCTATGATAATCATTCTATCAAAACAACTTTCAGCAGTAAAGATAACTGTTGAAATAAGAGATTTTATATGCTGTTTTGTACAAATTATTTAAAAAGATTTTCCAGATAGTTGTCATGTTAATTGAAGTTTGGAACTACATTTCTGCGCGGAGCAATAATCTTGGCCTACGTAAGAAACCGTAATCAGGCAAAAAATTCAGCGAAACGTCACTGACAGGTCAACAAAGAATGAACAACAAAATTACTGCAGTTTCGATTGTCTGATTTTCAATCAATATCACAGGATAAATAGAATACCTGGCCAGTGTCTTAAATATATAAGTCGTATTTTGGCTCGGAACAGAAACCTTCACCCTCACCAGAATACAGCTTATATTTCAAGACACTGACAATGTATTCTCTATATATAAAACAGGCGATGGAGGTCGTTAAAAACCATTATATATATACAGCCGATGGATGTCGTTAAATGCCATTATATATAAAACATGTTCGTTTGAGTATATGTGTATCACTATTTATATTTTATAAATGACACACAAGGTATACACGTCACTTTAAACCACACATAAAGCTCAAATAAAAAAAACTTTATGAAGACACCGCTTGAACGTTCGACTTGGAGATGAATCAATATGTACATCAAACACGTTCTGTGATACATTTTCTATCAATAACGAGAAGTATTTTGTAAATGATTGATGTGAAATAACTTGCACGTCTCTCAAGGCAGTATTTCATCTCCTACAAGCTTGTTGTTGTAAAAGAAAGCCTATTAATGTTTCATGGCATGGCACACAACAGGGAGAAAACATTTGCAAATAGCTATTGATGTATATGTCTGGTGTGTAAAATATCTCCAAACATTGACATAGAAACAGACAATAAATGCCACGGAGTGTGCAAGCATAACTTATGTAAAATCACACAGTTTATTACTGCTGAATGACTGTTAAGAATCATAATGTTAGTGTTCATGTTTATCTCACCTGTCAGGTAAAAACTGTCCCTTTTAGTAATGCTAAGTATTCCCTGTCAGTTCGAGATTCACTGGTAAGGGTTGACCACTTGAGGAGCACTCTTAGATAAACACTATTACCAGCTACAAGATTGGGTCAAGCACGAAGGAGACTTCTGTCAACACTTCCATTCTTATCCAATTCCACGAATCATCTTTTCAAATGTTATACAAATGTCGATATTTAAAATTCGCCCTTCCTGTTATAGATGTGCCGACTATCCAGCTAAAAAACCAATACACAAACAGTTATTATTAAAGGTGTGACAACGACCGACAGATCTAAGACCGGTGGAGGGTGTAGAAAGTCCTGATTCCGCCGGGTAACCTTGTCTGATTAAATTGGGATATAGTCAGGATAATTGTCTGTTTTGATCCTCAAGGGTATATGGCTTTAGAATAGCAGTTCCCATCAAACTAACGACAGCTTTAAACAGGTGCTTTCGTGACAAATATCGTCACACGGTAATTTGTTTACCGCGATCACAAAGACTTGTCTTTAAAACATGTTCAATGACTATGGTCTGATATTAATTGAAGTTTTAAATCTAAATTACATTCACGTTAATTTGACGCGAGAAGTGGTGTAGAGGACTTGGAATTAAGCCTAAAATACATTCATTACACACGTCAACTTGTATGTTGATACAAGCCGGTAGAAAATGTGTCCAACTGTCAGACTAGACCAATGCAGTCACAAAGTTCAGAAAAAGGGGCTATTGATTTTTGCGTGAATGAGTTACAAAGGAATCTGTAATTTATTATCTTAAGCTGTAAAACAAACTAACGTCTCAGCCACGGTGCTATATTTTTATAGGAAATATTTCTTTTACCGTATTCTTCCCCATAATAGGTTTACGACGATATAGCTATGTTTTGCTTTACACCTGTAAGCTGGGAGTTCAATAAACGTTTACAAGTAAAAAATAATCGTCTACAGTAAATCGTGTCTTAAAAGACAGAATAAATAAGTTTTTATGGCGAGAGGACTAAAAAATCGAATGTGTTATCATCATTTGATTAATTACTTCCTCTATTTGTGTCGATATTCTTACTTGCTGATTGCATTCGATTTCCGACATAACTTACACTCTGATACACATACTCTTTCATTATATTGTATGAATGCTAAGAATTGCATTTCATCTATTGTAATCCTATTTATATTTTGGACAATCCGTTCAAACGGCCTTTATGTTGTAAATTGAGAGAGTAGTTTGTTGAACATATACGGTAGACAAACAATGTAGATGAATAACATTAAACAAACAACACGTATGACTTTAAAAACAAAATTTTAATTTATATTTGAAAGCTTATCCTTAACTTCAACAACTAAATAGTAATTCAATACAAATATAATATTATGATACCACGAGGATATATCTAGTAGCGCTGGCAAACAGGTGTTGTACAATCAGGTATGTCAATATGTACAACCGGGTACTTCAAATATGTCTGGTCACTCAGTGGTCAGTTAATCAAACAAAATAAAGCTACCTGACCAACCAGTAAATAAAACTTTCGTGAACAATTACCACCAAGAAGAATTTATTTTATGTTTTCCTACCGATAAACAATGGTATTTTTTCACAAATGGACAGAAATGGTATAACACGAGACACAGAGAATACAATTGCTTGTATGCATTACAGCTTATACTCGATATTAAGTGTGGTAAATCATATGTTAAACACGAGCTTTACAATTTATCTGTGTTATGAAATAGAACTCAGGAAAGCTCTACATCCTGAACTATAATGTATATTTTATATAGAAGTTGTTGATTCTTTCCGGATACATATACTAGCCAAACACAAATAAGTGACAAACGTTTCTGAAGTGTTACCTTTGACGACCTAGATGTCATAAATAATAATAATAAAAAAAACCAAATCAGCTGGTCAATAAACAGTAACAATATGATTCAAACCATTCCTGTCTTACCTCGACATTTATCTTTGACTTGCATTTCGTTTAATTCGGTAGAATGGAACGGTAATTTGAGAATGAAATTCTAATAATAGTACGAGATGAAACAGAGGCAAGTGAACTATATATTAGGTGAATTTATAACGTCATGAAACATAAAAAACAGACAGTTTAATCATTTTAAACACCTACTGTTTTGAACTGCTGGAGTGACAAATTGATTAATAAACAATTAAAGATATAATATGATATGCTCAACCTGGCAAGGGAAGGCGTCGCTTCACAAATCACGAGAGATTTACATATATAGTGTACATCTGATCAACCGATGAGATTTTGCACACTCTTCCTCTCTCTTTCCCCTCCCCATCCCTTTATCTCTCTCTCTCTTCCTCTCTCTATCTCCTCCTCCTTATATCCCCCCTCTCTCTCCTCCTCATCTCGCTGTCTCTCTCTCTCTTTTTTTTCTCCTACTCCTCCTCATCTCTCTTTCTCCCCCCTCTCTCTCCTCCTCCTCCTCCTCCTCCTCCTCATCTCCCCCTGTCTCTTACAGTAAATTTACGCCGTTAGCTATAGTTATTCATAATTTAGAACATGTGGTGTTATACGTGTTACTCATTGTTAAACTAA